TTGATTGAATATATGTTATGCTTTAAACAATGTGATTCAAAATTGCAAGTAGGTGATGAAATCATCAAGAAATATAACATTTCTAGTTAATTACCTATATACAAATACTATGTATACAAATAAGTTTGATTATTCAAAATAAAATTTTTTATATTTATAACTAATTAAAAAACACTATAAAAATAAAATTTTGATAAATTGTCAATAAAAAAACTAATAGTAAAAATTTTATTTAAAATATAAATATATAATAAATAAAAGATATATATAAATTAAATAATTTAGTTAAATATAAATAAAATAATATATATTAAATAAATATACTATATAAAATAAATAATAATTTTAATAAAATTATTTAATATTTTTTGATAACCAACTATGTAAACATAAACATGCTCTTGCAGATTCACTATTTAATCTATTTCTTGATTTGTTAATTATTTGACCTGCAATTGAAAAAAGTTGTTCACATGGAACTGAACTAGCTTGAATACATAAATAATTATATGCAAGTTCTGAAAGTATTGGATATTCTGCTGTATGAGTATTCCACCAATCTAAAAGATTTATAGTTTCATCTGCTTCTGCAGATAGCCAATATTTTTTAACTTCATCATCTAATGTTTGTGTTTGTTGTGATGTATGTTTTAATTTTTGGTAAAAACTTGATAATTTTTTAGGTTTAGTTACTGTTAAAGGTAATTGTAAATCTATTTTTTTTCTAATTGGTGTTAAAATTTCTTCAATACTCATATTAGAAAAACAATAATTTTTATATCTAGGATCCAAAAAAGCAGAAATATGTAAAGATTCAGTTATTAAATTAAAATATTCAATAAATTTAGATAACATAGCATCAATAACATATTGTAATTGAAAATTTTCACCCTTATCTTGTTCTAATTCATTTCTAAGAGCCAATAAAATTATTTGTGCATGTGCAATTGTTGGATAAGTTTGTGATGAAAGTTCAATAGTTGCTTGATTAAATTGTTCTAATAAATGAACTAAATCTTCATAAATTTTCCATTCTTCTTTGCTTGGCATATAAGTTTTTAGATTTGGATGTTTAATTAATAAAATTTCTATAGATTCATAAAGTAAACATGCTCTTTTAATCATCTGATAAGTTGAATTCCATCTTGTTTTGCAATCTAAAATTGGAGCTAAAAAAGTTTGTTTATCCAATGTTGCAATATTTTTTAAATCTTCAAAAATTTTAGTTGATTTGCGAATAGTTTTAATTAATTTTTTTAATTTTTTAATTGAATGTTCTAAAGGATTTAAACCAGCTAAAACAACTAAATTAAGTATATGAGCTATACATCTATAATGACAAAAACTATTAGAATTCAACTTATCTTGTAAATAATTTGCTGCAGAAATCATATTGGCACCATTGTCAGTAGTTAATGCAATAACTTTAGTTTCAATTTCAAATTCTTCAAGTAAATCATATATTTTATCAGCAATAATTTTTCCAGTATGAGAACCTTTAAATTGAAATATATCCAATACAAAATATTGCAAATTCCAAGTAGTATCAATAAAATGAATAGTTATAGCTAAAAAAGATTCCATTTTTAAAGATGTCCAAAAATCAGCTGTAAGAGCAACTTTACTTGAAATTTTACTAAGGTAATTTTTTATCAAATTTCTTTGGTCAAAAAATTGACTTATAGCTAAATTATGAATAGTTTTACGTTTAGGAATTTGATAAAATGGATCTAGCTTTTGTATCATATTTTGAAAAGCCTTATTTTCTACTACATTAAATGGTTTAAGAGCTAAAATAATCCATTCAAAAATAGCCTGGGTTTTTTCCATTTGAATTTCTGATGAATATTTTTTAATTACAAAATTTAATTGTTCTTTGTTTAATAATGTTTTATGTTGTGATTGTAAATGAGAACGAATAGAACCAGTTGCTGTTGTTGGTGCAAAAATTTTAGAACAATAAGAACATTTACGAGTTTCTTTATTTACATGTTTCCAAACATCTGATTCAGCTTTAATAACTAATTTAAGTTGTTGAGATAATTCCAAATTTTTATTCAAATCTTCTTCATTTATTGCAGCAATTTCTTCAAAACTTAAATCTTGTATACTTTGTATAATATCTTCATTATCTTGTTCGAAACATCGAAGTATCGAAGTAACTATAAAAAAGAAAGAAAAGAAGAAAGAAAGAAGAGAAAAGAGTAAAAAGAGATAAGAAAGGAGTGAGATACTTGGGGACTTGCTTGGCAACCTGCTTCCTGACACTCATTGTGATGTGAATACGTCACCTGTATATGTTCTTTGTATTAAATTGTTAGTTTATTAGTTGACTTTGGGTAAAATTATTGTATTGATACGCTACGCCTTAGCATGGCCATTCCTCTATTTGATGTGCTGCACCTTGGCGTGGGCCATCTCTCTATTTGATGCGCTGCATCTTGGCGTGGGCCATCCCTCTGTTAGATGTGCTGCACCTTAGCGTGGGCCACCCCCTATCACACATACCCGATACTCTTCCTTCTTCATCACGTGATTCCTGTACAACACCAGTTCTAAGATAAAAGTATTGGCACCTGTAAATCTAGTAGAGCCACAGCATGGCACTACTCCCATAGTGTATCTTCTTCGATTAAATAAATTTGAATTGATCCAAGCGAGAATAATTATCATTAGCAATTTTTTAGGTGTCCCAGAATTTATGAAATCAGCTGTAGTGCTTAGAAATAATATTCCGGACCATTATTTTGGGATAGTATGCCCATGCCAATGCCTATACCAAATTTTTGTGCCTGTGCCTATGCCTATACCTAAGTTTTTATGCCCATGCCAGATATTTTATGCCCACGCCTGTGCCCATGCCAGATTTTTGTGCCCATGTCCGTGCCTGTGCCAACTTCTTTGTGCCCGTACCTGTGCCTGTATCAAAATTTTATGCCTGCGCCCATGCCTTTGCCTGAGTTTTTATGCCTATGCCCATGCCTGTGCCTGAGCTTTCATGCCGATGCCCATGCCTAGACCTTTTGTTGGGCACAGGCACGAGCCCGGGTTGCAGACCCCTAATCTTGTCATAAATTCTCAGTATCAATATCCAATTTGTTACTAAATTATTTCACCGAATTTTAATCAAAATTAAGATTAGAACCAGCAGTAGGCATACATGTTCATACCAAGACTAGGGATGGACTCGGTCGGTTACGGTCGGTTATCGGTCGGCTATTACCGGCTAGCCGATCATAGCCGGCTAGCCGC